TTTGTACTGACTCACAGATAACGTTTGTAGTATTTACTTATAGTTAGACGTAATCATTATCTTATAAAATATTACTAAAGCAAGCTGTTCGTATAGACCTATAGAAAAGCTTTCTATGTATGTATGTATGTATGAATGAATCAATGTATTATGAATCAAACTTCGATTACCGACATAAATCGATAATAGTGTTGTTAAATAATATTTGAGTACTAAACGCATAAACAGTAGCCGAAGGTGTGAATTACGGTGGACTTTTGGCAGCAATCTTTATATATGGTTGTATACCTTCTCTTTTAATAACATCATATATTGAGTAATTATTGTTTCATTATTAACTATTATTACTAATAAACATATTTATATATATATATTTCTGAATACTTGTTGAAAGTACTTAAAATGATTAGCAATAAATCAATATACTTTAGAAAGTAAAAATTATTGGACTTGAGTTAGAAATTTCTTTGTATTTTAATACAAAGTTTCGTGCCAAGCAGTTTTTTCTCGACTTTTCATTCAAGTGATTTAATGTTTTGATGCATTAAATATGTCAATGTGTACAACCGATGGTACCCAAGGCCAGAATGAAAAATTTAACGTGTACCACCGGTAGTAGTACACGTTGCACGGAACGTGTTAACCCTTTGAGTGCGGAACGCGTCTAACAATTGCAATCGCTGGAAGCGAAATGATTTTATTGCTAATGTGAACTATTTGGATAAAAATAAACGACAAAAAAAAAGAAAAGAATTTCGAACCAAAGTGGTATGTAAAAAAAAAATATATGCATACAGTTCACACGCAGTAGAAGTGGAACCTTCAGAAAACTAAACTTCGAGAGAATAAGACGAATGTTTACATCTTATTCTACATATACTACATTACAACATATTATACAGACTACAAGTTTTCAATTTCAACAAATGACACGAATAAAAATCATTGACGACAATGATTTTTATGTAATTATTTTAACGCTCCTGCGCAGTGATGACTTCGAGGGTAAAATTTTTCTGTAATATAAGTAGAGTTCATTAGTGCATTGAAATAATTATTAATTAATCAAAAGAAATGTCTATTGTTGCTTAAAATCTCGGAGTATACGATCTATGTACTGTTCTCTTCGAAATTCGCCGTTGAACTGAATCATTGTCCTCTATAAGATTACTTTTACTAAATTTGGTTTATATATGCCCTTCTCCGAACATTGCGCATGTGTATAAAGGGAATAATGCACCTAATACATAAAATT